TGACATTTCTAGATAAATTCATAGTATGTGTTGTTCCAGATTAATATAAAAAATAATTTCTTACACTAAAAAAATGAATTGTTTCCTGCATACTTGCTGAGCAAATAAAACACTGAAGTTAAAACAAACAAAAATTCAGGCATCAGTTCTCTTAAAATAGAAATCACACTAGAGCAGTGACCAAGCCTTTCCATGACTTTTGCATTATCCTCTCATACAACCACCTAATTAAACAGAATGATGACTGTAAAGAAAAGTGAGATGAGTTATTTAATTAGTGCAATTATTCTGCATGCATATGCACATGTACGCAAACACAGGTAGTGGGGTGGGTAGGTGTGTGCACATGTGCACTTACCTATATATCTCAGAAAAGGAACTGTTCTTTATCCACACAATGAAGAAAAGGCATCATTCTGAAGCATTAGATTAAAACTTCAGTATATTAAATGCAGTTATACCTCATGGAATATTCAATACAAGAAGCAGAAGTTTTGGTAATTATAAAACATGGAAGGCTTTGGCACTAGAAGATTTGGGAAGGCAGCCCAGTGGAAAGCAACATGACAAGTCATAAGAACAGAACAGAGAACAAGGTTGCCATTCTGGTCAGGTTGACCAGATGACAAACAATGATATAAAGAACAAGATCCAAGGTCTAAGTCAGTTCAAGATTCTGAAACCCTGATGAGCTGGAAGAAAACTTGGTGGGAAGGTTGGGAAAACCAAGTAGGAAGAGACAAAAACCAATAGATAACATGATTAGACTAAGAAACCAAGAAAACAATTTGACGAGCTATGAGAGGAATCTCCAATAAAGCATGCCCTCCAAAGCCTGGATGCATTAATCTAGGCATTATCATCACAAAAACGCATCAATGCCAAAACAGACCTTTAGAGGACAACGTACAATACAATCTGACTGCCCTGGATCATATTTTAGAGACAGCATAAAATTGTCATTTGATAAAAATAAGGAACAATATATAAATAACCATATTATGATTGCCATTTGGACTAGAAACCAAGAATATTTATACTACACACAGATATAGCTTATCAAGTTTCAAGAAGCTTAAAAGTTTCAATAACCATTGATACTATTAGAAATAGTTTACCTGTAAAGCAGCCTTAAGCAGCATTTGAAGAAAGAACAGAGAACATAGTCATCATTGGCAACAGCAATAACCATAATTCATGGTAACAAGTTATTATTTCTATGACCAATTAAAAGATAATTGCCCATAACTTACATCCTTCACCAAGTACCACTGTTCTCTAACAGTAAAACCCTCAACTACTGCCCACTCCTGAAACTAGGCCTATTCAGCCCAAACAAATTAAAATTCAACATTAATTCTCAAGTTCCATCTCCTTCCCATTTCCCCTTTTTCTTCCCCTTCCTTGCCTGTTATCTCCTGTTTGCCTCCAAACACAGCACATCAGCACTGCCCTAAACCCCATCATTCTGCCTTCTCAGTTTCACAGTTACAGCAATTCTAATGCTTCCCACCAACTCCTGCAGGAATGATGGGATGAAGTGACAAAAACATTTTCAGCAACCAAAAATGTTACTCTTCCCCATTATTACTGACTCCTACTAAGGCTACCTACATTATAATCTTAGCATGTTTTCATTCCTGAATTTACTCAGATTTCATTTACGTTAGGCTTATTTATTTATTTATTTATGCCACCTGAACAGATACAGAATGTATTTGAATGAGAGTAAGAAGTGTTGCATTACCTTTAAACTGGTATCTAATCCCTTTCAAAAGTACCTGCAGTATTAGCTCACTACCGGAGAGTTCAGTGGAAATATTTTTAACTTCTAGCATTATACCTGCAAAACCAATACTGATCTAGAGCTTCTGAAACATCCAAACAACAGAATTCATTCCCCCCCCCAACATGAATTATCTACATTTTTCTCAACGAGCAAAAATAAGAACTATTGCACATACAAATCTTCCCAAAACAGCAATTTAATGTTATCACTTTCATATTTGTGTACAGTTGAACACCATATATCAGACAGCCTTTACAGAAGTTTACTTTTCTTTATACGCAATAGCAGCTGCCAGACTACTTCAAAGTGCTGCACTCCTGTTTGGCACAGTCCAGAAAGTGATACATATGACAGACTGTGCAGCATACGCACCTCTTCCACAGACACACAGGAGGGA